TATAAATTTTTCGGGGTCGGTAAAGTATTTTTCGTTTCGATGAGGTGCTTGGTAATTCACCACGAATTGTGTGTCGGATTTCCATCGATATCCGGTTATTTTATCTTCGCGTTGATTTGTACGGAACATAAATGGCACTGCTGTGTTGATATGAATCGCTGATAAAATTTTGTTAGTTTAAAGTGTTATGAATTATTCAAGAATAAAATTGAAGTGGCTTACTTTCATAATATACAGCCTCGATATATTTGAATTCGTTAAAATCATCGTAGGTGACAACACGATTCAAATTATCCGAAAAAAAAGGAATTAATCTCAGTTCTAATTTTTGCCTCCACTTCTGGATATCTACCGACATATTCAACAATAAATATGAAGGCAGACACAGCTGATTTTATTAAAGAATAATCAGTTAGAAATTCTGCAACAGATAAAAGATGACCATAAAAAATACAGTGTCAGTTGATGCAGCAATAGACTCGAATAAACTCATCAGTCAAAGGTTTGTCTAAATTATTCGGGTCGCGTTCTGTATTTGCTGCGACTAACAAATTCATTATAAATGGTTCATCGATCGGCGTATTTTCGAGTTCTCTTTAATTGATCGTGGGCTTTAAGATGCGCCTTATTTTGTTTCCATGTCTCAACAACGAGTATGTTTAAACAAGAAAACTATCGCTGCAAATGCATTTTCAAATCCTTTGACAATTTTCTCAGTCATATATGAATCTTTAGTCCCAATATCGATTGCTTTCCAGTAGAAAGGGTATTGAAATATTTAGCCATGAAATGAAACTTTTTTTCAGTCGTATTAAAACAAAATAATATCCGACGCAAACCGAACGGCCCAAGCATGCAAGTCCAAAACATATTCTGAACCCAATTCCTTCCAATAATGCTGCATTTCTTTGAAAAATTCTTGCATCATTTCAATTGTTCCCTGAAGATACGAAGGATTCGCCACCACATAATCAAAATACTTTCGATTAAATCGCCAACTTTCAATATTGCGATTAAATGTAATCCCGGTATCAGTTCCCCCATGCTTCCAAACCATCATGATACGCATAACGAATAATGAAATTACTTTTTGTGAATGGAACATTAAGTTGTTCGAAAATTTCACCATAGATTTTAGCTAAATCGTAAATCCATTTTGCCAAATTGCTACTGAGTTTTTGATATAGACTACCAACAATTGGTAATGAAAATGGACCTGGAAGAAGAATATCACAGGTATAGTAGAAAAGTGAAATATAGTAACGAATAGAAATCACCGAGACTTAGCGATGTAAGAAAATTTACTAAAAATTTCATTTTAAAAATTCGTATCGTTTAAAGAATAATTACGTAATTTATGCATGTGAATTTCAGGAAAAAAAGGATGCCTACACTAATAAATACAGTTGCATGCACTGCATGATTTTTCAGGTTTTGTTCGTTTAATCCAAGACATGAGGTGTCGCGTCGAATGGAAATACATGAACATATTATTATTGCAATAGAAACAGTGTAAATTGTATTGAAATTCTAACATAATTTACACTGTTTCTATTGCACTCGGCCCATATATTGTTTTACAATTTATCCCCCTGAGTGAAAAATTTTCAAATCTGCATGGAGATCATTCCAACATATGCATAAAGAAATACAAAAAGATTGTGAAATGTTGATTTTATATTTCTTCAACGGCAAATTGTTCAGTTGACTTCATAATATTTCGCTCGTAATGGTGCTGCTGTTGACAATCACAAGAAGCTTCGTGATCAAATCTCTACACCAAATATTGAATAACAACATGACTAAACACTGATTGCAGTTGTAATTATCTTCTTGACAATGGTAACATTTATGCATTTTAAGTCCACCATATAAAATGCGTTTATATCATTTGGACGTCGTTCGTTTGGGATTTTGATAATTCGGGACACCGTTCTTTCGAGATTTCGTTTGTTGGGATATGAATTGTCAGAATTGTGTTTGTCAGGGTTTCGTCCAGATCCATTATATATGTAGTAAAATTGGGTTTGCCTTTTTTTAACGCATATTATATTCCAAATAAAATAAAATCACGTGAAACCGAGAATTGCCCAAGAAAATTCTCAGTATGTTTGAACATAGATGTTCGTACAATTTAACAAAATTTGTTGACAATTATGTAAAATGCAAACACGATCACATATGAAAAACTCTACTTTCAGGGTATTGACACAGAAAAAATAAGTATTTAAAACATTGCATGGAATGATATAGGAAAGAGACAAGACATGTGATATCATCATTACCTGTAATCTTCACAAATTCTAAAGTGGAACGTGATGTTCTTTGAAATCCCGAGGAAACTTTGAAATGAGGTAGTAATTGAAATGATTTGTTTGTTAGTAAAATATAAAATAAGAATCGAGCCAAGAGCATAATAGAAACAATGTTAATTCTCCCGATCTGTTGAAGTCTGCATACTGGAATACAATATAATACTCTTTAATCAAGTCCGCCTACAACATTTCATCACTACTTGTATCAGTTGCATTGTACATTAATGATGCTAGCCTTCATCAGTACAATTGAAACTCAGCAATTTTTTCAAGATGGATCGATTAATATTTGTAGCACGCGCTGTAAATGCCCACTCTCTAACTCTCTAAGGTCCAATCCGGTGCAGTAATTTAACCATTTGGACTAAGTAATAATAGAATAGTTTCTAGTATAGCTCTTTGCCCAATTTTCTAAAACATAGACTGAAACATAGACCAAGTATGTACTGAATTATCAATGTATATACAGGTGTTCTTGAGCCTTTAATCAAGTCAAGTTATAATAAAGTACAGTACAAAGTAATTGAAACAGTATTACCTCTTGCTTGTATTATTGAAATTCGGGTTTTGTCGCTTTTACCCGAAGAAAGTCGTTATTGTTGTGTTCCCCTTTGTAGAAGAGTCTAGCAATAAAGAAACTCTGTTCAATCATACGTCTGGTGACTCTGTGAACTTGACCCGTGAAACTTAAGAAATCCATAGTTAAAATTATCATGTAATTCCCTTCCACTTTTCCAATCATTCTTTAGTTCTAAAACACTCACCTTTACCGCCTACGCAATATCTTAAAGAAATCCTCATACATCGAATAAATTTCCACAAACCTGTTAAACCCGTCCTTCTTTGAAATCAAATAGACCGGATTAATATCGATATATCTTAAACGAGACGAAACCAGTAGCGACATCAAAAATATTATACTACAATCTGAATCTATTTTCAAAAATTTGATTGTTTTAGAAACACAAACTCAATTTTCACTTTAGAAAATGTTCATTTTTTTTACCTCGTTTATAAACTCTGGAATAATTTGTAATGATTTCAACGCAACTTCAGTTTCTATACTTCATTGGAATTTATTTCTTCATGATCACAGTTTCCAGGTTGCTTTATAAATTGTCTCAAAATCTCCTTTTGCAAGATATTCAACGTTAGTAAATCTTTCAAACGGAGTCCATTCGAATAACTGATCTTAATTAATTTCGTTATTAGAATATTCAAATATATAATTCGTTTGTGATATTTGAAACATCCAGAGCAGTAGCATTTTTTGATGTACAGTTACTCTACAGTCATGAATATCGATATAGTAGAACAGACGAGAGATATCGGATTAACTCCATCATTCAGAAGTTCAACAGAGAAAGAGTTCTAGTAGCTCTGAGAGCAGTGCGATGCAGTGCAACGGCAAAATAATACCCGAACGTCTAATTACGTCACGGCAGACGTCACTAGCATAACTTGAAATGTGTGCTAGGTTACGCCGATTCCGACATAAGCGTTAAAATTGATTTTGAGTTCAAGGTTAGGGTCCGGGTTAGGCTTGAAGGTAGTAAGATTATATGTAAAATTGTCTTCGCATCATTTTTTATTAATGCTCCAAGCTAGATTTTAGCATTCGTTTTCTATATTTTTTTATTTCATTTTTTGTGTTGGATTGTTTTTTTCGGGTTGATCAAAAAACCTGGCACTCATTCAACGTCACTATACGTCTTAACGCAGCGGATAATGATAATAACAAGCGCGTAAAATTTACTGTATTGATTATCAATTTTTTTACTCTCATGAGATGATCGTGAAATATAAAAGGTACTTTTGGCTTTTTTCTTTGAAGTTTCTTTGGATCCACCAAGTTCTTGAAACTACTTGGGGACGCCTGAGTTTTCTTTTGAGTTTCTTTGGCGCACAAGATTTTTGGGACGTCTAAGTTTTTTTTGTCAGAGTTTCCTCTGGTTAAAGGTTTTTACAACTTGCGGTCGTTTATTACTACTCCGTTTATTATCCTTTGACTCTTTTTTACTGCCCCGTTTTATTGGAAACTTCTGGTATAGTATCGTGTTAACGATAGCGGTTGTTTCTTTCTTGGCTAATTGACGTGTATTTCGTTCTTTGCTTGAACTTGTCTTTCTGGTATAAATTAGGCCCTTTATCTGATTTGACTATCAAGTAATAGTTTGAAAAGAGTGGTTTTCTTTTTCTATTTTTTTGCCCGTGTTAGCTTCGTTTTATTAGAACTTCTGGGTATAGTATCGTGATAACAATAATAGTTGTTCCTTTCGTAGTTAATTATGAAATTATCTAACTATTACTTTACTAAAAAACAATAATTGATGTATTGTGTTCTTTGCTTGAACTTGTCTTTTTAGTATAAATTAAGCCCTTTATCTACTATCAAGTAAAAATTCGAAAAAAGGAAGTTCAATTAGATTTCTTTTTCTATTTTTGTTAATTTTAGCTTTCTTTTATTGGAAACTTCTGGTACAGTATCGTGATAACGATAGCGGTTGTTTCTTTCTTGGTTAATTTTGAAATTCTCTGAGTGTTGCTTTACTAAGAAGTGATAAGATTTTCTCTTGGCTGAATAATATCCTAATATTTCGTTCTTTGCTTGGACTTGTCTTTCCGGTATAATTTGAGCTCTTTATCCGGTTTGACTTCCAAGAATGCTTCGTAAGAATGGAATTCTCAGTTTTCATTTTACTTTAATAAAACCCACCAATTTTTAATCAAAGGTGATGGAAATACACCTACAAAATATTACTGTCAGTGACATTTTTCCAGATTTTTGCCCTTGGAAGAAATTCTGGAAACTCATATTTTGACATTTTTACCATAAAATGGTTTCAATTGTTGTTCGAAGCTCTTTAAAGGACTGGGGCGGCACATCTGTTGAAAAATAACGCAGGGGAAACTTACTGAGAACAGAAATCTCAAGTAGAACAAAAGAAGTTCCCTTTATTTGTGAATATAAACCATGAAAGTGTGGCCTATTGATCCTTTAGATCCTTGTGGCTAGAGGTGCAAGAAAAGTCACCATAGAGATAACTGGCTTGTGGCAGCCAAGCGTTCATAATGACGTCGCTTTTTGATCCTTTGATGTTGGCTCTTCCTATCATACTCAGTATCAGACCTTCGTATAGTTTACCCTACTGATGAAGTATTGTTGCAATAGTAATTCAACTTAGTACGAAGGAACCGTTGATTCGGATAATTGGTTCATGTGCCCGCCTGAAAGGACAATGACGCGAAGTTATTATCCGCTGGAATTTCTGAATATCAAAATGAAGAAATTCAATTAATCATGGAAGTAACTATGCATGCCTTGTCATCTGATTAGTGACACGCAACGAGATTTCCACTGTGCCTATCTACTATCTAGCGAAACCGCAGCCAAGAAAATGGGCTTGGCAAAATCAGCGGGGAAAGAAGATCCTGTTGAGCTTGACTCTAATTTGACATAGTGAAAAGGCAGAGGGTATAGTGGCTTCGGTCACATTTGTGCAATACTATCTCTGTTAAGCTTGGCTCTAGTTTGAAATCATGAAAAACATAGTGGAAGTGGTTTCGGTCACATCGGTGAAATACCACTACCTTTACTTAATCACTGAAAGTGGAGCTGGGCATTAACTCACCTTTTGGCATTAAGCGCCTCTCGGGCGCGATCCATCCACGTTGATGACATTGTGATGAAATACATCTCTATAAAATATTTTCATCGTATTGTGAAGCGTTTTGATCGTAAATTTGTTACTTGCTGGTTCTCTTTAAAGATTCCTTCCTAGGGATAGACATGGCCATAGTTATTTTCAACGTAAGACTAGACCTGTTACAGTAGAGAATCGTAAGCGTCACTCCCTTTGATTTGTCGTGAGTTTCACCAGGTCTTGACTCTGCGTTAAATGAGACTTGGTTCTGACTTGAGTGCACTTCCTTCATCAGTGGTTTCTATTACTAAGATAGCTTCTGAAGTTACTTGGTAGTATTACCCGAAAGTGTAATCTCGAGTCCTTCAGGTTTCCAGAGTTTCTAGCCAATTCTTATAGATTGTAGTATTCCAAGGATTTTGCTCTGGTGATTCCTAATTGGAATGAGGGTTCGAATCCTTCCAAAATCCAAACTCATTCATAGGGAAAAAATCAAATGATCGATCTCAATTTAATTGGAAATTATTCGATTAATTATTTTAATTATTTTTTTTATCACGGGATCGCAGAATATCACGTCACAAAATTTTTATATACGAAAATTTATGGCGAACTGGCAATATTTTATATAAAATTAGAATTTTTTTATTTTTACATTATATATTCACAGTGTGCTATTACAAACTGAATTAGAAATAATCCAATTACAATTGAAAAAGATGTCTTGCCTTATTATTATTATGCGAAAAATAACATGTTGATATGCTCGTTCTCTTTTAGGTATAAAAATTTCCTGAAGCCAAACAACATTTTGCAAAAACTGAAACAATTAATCATTGAAATTATAACATTATGTAATAATTTACTAAATTTCTTCATAACGAAAATTTAAAAAAAAAACTTTCAAGCTATGAAAAAAGAGTCTGCTTTAATCAAAATTCACACGAGACCCTTTATTAGATGAAGATGAAATTTTAAGTTATTAATTACCACACTACGAGAAGAACTAAAAAAGTTATCTTATAGAATTCAAAAATTTAGATCAATTAGAAAAAATAAAATAAAAGCATACTTTCTAGATACCTTTATCGATCAGAAAGAATCAAAATGCTGATGTCTTATCCCAGATGTATTTGGAAGATCATTAAATAAAAATGAAAATTTATCGTCATCTTTGATTTACGTGTGTGTGAATAATTTTAACGTTGACATTAAGAGTTGAATTTTAAATTTCTCATATTTGCATGCATACTTTAGTAATATTGATAAGTTTTTTGCACTTTTAATTTTACCAGTGATCAAGTCTATTGCAAGGACTGTTGATAAAACTATCTGATGATCTTTATACAAGTAGTAGCATATGTGTAATCTTTTAGGAATTTTAGGCATATATCTTAATTAATCACATATTGTACATGTATTATCTAAAATTATAAAACCAATGTCCAAATTAGAATTTGCTTTTACCAACAATTTTTTTTATATATACTTAGGAAATAGAATTTTATTGACGACTTATTCTTTTCCGATCGCATGTTTGACCATTTCGTAAGAATAAAATAATTTTTGGTATAATTTTAGCACATTGTTCCAAAAATGTACGCAAAATCAATCTATATATGCGTGCTCTTGAGCCTTAGACAAGTCAAATTATAGTAAAGTTCAAAGTAATTGAAACAGCATACAAATCTATAATATGTAAAAAATATTTTACAGACTTGAAAATTACTAAATATTTCTAATTATATTTAATAATATATTATAAATATCTTTAATTAATAATATAAGTTACTTTCAACAAAAAGCTATGCGAAAAAGCAAAAGATAATCTATTTTTTTGTATCCGCACCCCTATAACAGAGCTGTATCTGTATATTTTTCATTGTATATTGTTTATGTACTGTATCATTATCTTTTGCTTATGAAACATCTTCCGAGTATAAGACCATTAATAACAGCACAAACCACTGTGAAATGGAGTCCCATTTCGTATTTCCACGAGTAACTGCTTCATGGTTCTGTTTCCGATATCTTCAGACGTTTTACTGGGATTAGCTGCTCTTTCGGTGGAAAATAAAACATCATCGTAGTTTCTGATACTAGGAAGAGCGAATCCCGGAGATCTAATTAAAGCATATATCAGATAGACCAAACAATAATTTTATTTTGTTACTATATTACCAAATTATAATTATTTGGATCAACTCACTTTACAGATTCTCCTCTAAATACATCTGTATAAATCTGGTATGCATCTGTTCAATACGGCATGAAATTGATTATTTGAGATATGGAGAGATGAAAAGCACCTCACGATGCTTTGCCCGACCTTCATCAACAAATTCTATTGGTTTAGTGCACGAATATGAACACTTGAAATTTATTTCACTACCACCCAGAGGAGATGCTCCAGACATTCTCCTATGTTGAAAAACTCATTGAGGAATTGACATCACCAAGTTTTTTATCAGATACCATAAATTGCAAACAAACTTATCTCGATTTAGCAAAATATACAATGCCATTACTAAAGCTGAGAGTAGAATTGAGATCACAAATCAAAAGATTATTAGATATCACCATCTCAATACAATATATAGTATATATAATCAGGACCGCTTATAAATATAATAATAGTTTTCGGGATAAACGATAATACTTTTGAAGCATTGAGGATTTCATTATACTGGAAAATGGCAATAGAAATAATAGAAGTGTCAGAAAAGTAAGTTTTTTAAAAATTTGATAATCCAAACCTTTTTAACAAATATTCCGACGCCCATAAACCCAGATTCATGAATTCTGAACACGCAAAATTACAAATCATAGCATTCTGAAGTTGAAATCTTTAAAGTTACAAATGTTAACAATTATAGATAATTATACAATTTATTAAAAATCAAAAGCCTCGGCGTAAGCATAAAAGGAAACTTAATCTTAGAAATTATAAAGAGATTCAATATTCAATAAATATGCGTAATTTTCTTGCATTCATACATAGTATCAAAATCTATGTGAGATGTAATAATGTCAGTCTTTCGTATCATAGTATATACCACTACAATATCAAAATCGAAAATTAGATTATGTCCTGATTTAAGCTTATACAGTTAATGAAAATAGATTAGAACTAACACATCTATTAACTTGATCAAAGCTCCAAAAAGAAGGATGTAGAGAATTTGTTTGGATCATTAGTTAAAGATCTATTCAAATTATTGAGATTGCTTTCTGTATTTGTTACAATTAATAAATTTATTATAGCTAATCTAGTTTTAATAGTTTATCAATTAATATATTTCTATTATTTTTCTTATTAATCACAGGTACTCTTAACATTTCTATAAAATAACTAAAAAAAAAATAAGCAAATATCATAATTAATAATAAGGTTAAAATCTTCTGGAGTTGAATTGACTTAGATATATTACCAAGTCAAATATGAATAAGCTTCTTCTCATATATTCTATTTATCAACTCCATATGAGATAAATAGTAAAAGAATATTTAAAGAAAATTACTTGATTTATAATCTCACAATAGCCATAATGCACTTCCAGTTCTCTGCTATCTCATACTTCTGATAGTAGCATAACTTTAGATATATATAATTAGATAAATAACTTAATTAAATAAATATCTTATCCTATTCTATACTAATGAATCTTTATACTTTTTAATCTACTAAAACTTTTGGAGCAAAAATTATTTTCTTTAGTGATAAAGAAAGCATTTTTATAAAATAATTATAAAAAAATAAGTAAATATCATAATTATCAATAAGAATAAAATCTTCTGGAGTTAAGTTAAACTTGAATATATTATTAAGTTAAATATGATCATGTTTTTAAGAATTTTATTATTCAAGAAAGATATCTATTATAGAGACTAAAAAAAATAAAAAATATTAATAATTAATTCTAGAGGTATTACTAATATCAGAAGAGATCTCTAAATAGGTTATGCATAGTTAGAAATATTATTATAATATATAATAAATATATAAATATAGTGATTTACAAGCTAAGTTCTTAATTTATATTAAGTTAAATTATATTCTTGATAACTAATAATCCAATCTCATATAGACTTTTTTTTAGAATAAACTATTAAGTAAAATTAAATATATCTTTATTATTATCAAGTCTAAATGATTTCTAGTAATTTTTACTAGATATATA